TGGTGAATATCTTTTCCCAGTCTGTGGGCTGTCATTGTCTTGCTGACTGTGTCCTTTGCCTTACAGAAGCTTCTGAGTTTCAGGATGTCCCATTTATTAATTGTTGATCTCAGTGTCTGTGCTACTGGTGTTATGTTCAGGAAGCGGTCTCCTGTATTCAAGGTTATTTCCCACTTTATCTTCTAGTAGGTTCAGTCTTTGATTCATTTAGACTTAAGTTTTGTGCATGGCAATAGGCTTGGGTCTATCTGTAGTCTTCTATATGTTTGCATCCAGTTAGCCAGCACCATTTGTTGAAGATGTTCTCTTTGTTCCATCATATAAATTTGGATTGTTTGTCAAAAATCAGGTGTTTGTAGGTGTCTGGGTTAATATCAGGGTTATCAACTCTATTCCATTGGTCTACCTGTCTATTTTTGTGCCAATACCAAGCTGTTTTCAGGACTATAGCTCTGTAATACAGCTTAAAGTTAGGGATGGTGATGCCTCCAGAAGTTCCTCTATTTTACAGGGTTGTTTTGGCTATCCTGGGTCTTTTGTTTCTCCATATAAAGTTGAGAATTGTTCTTTCAAGGTCAGTGAAGAATTGTGTTCTGATTTTGATGGGGATTGCACTGAATCTGTAGATTACTTTTGGCAAGATTGCCATTTTTACTAGGTTGATCCTACCTATCCAAGAACATGGGAGATCTTTCCATTTTCGGGATTTTCTCATGTCCTCTTTGAGGTCCTCTATCATTTTCCTGAAGATGTTTTTAAGGTCATTCTCTTCTGGTTCATCTGCATCGTGATGTTGAGGTCTTACTGGTGTATGGTTCCTAGGCTCCGGTGGTATTATACTGGGTTTTCTGTTGTTGGATGTGCTTTTACCTTGTCCTCTTCTCATCCTTTCTTCTGGTGGGGGTAGCAAGAGTTTCTAGTTCTCCTGGTCGGTATGGGACCAAGGTTCTCTTCTGGTAGATGCAAACAGATCCAATACTCTGATGTCGGTCCTCTTCTCGTGGATGGAGGTGTCACTGTTACCCGGGTGTCGGCAGTGTTCGGGAGTGCCGGGTCCCGCTGGGCTGGCAGTTGGAGGCAGAGCTGTCACCAGGCCTCGGTGTGTCGGATCCCGCTGCTGAAGTCCATCCAGCATGCAGGTGGCTTTTGTCAGATGAATCTAAGCATCGACGACGAACATGAGTCAGAAACAGCTCCTGGTCGGTGGATGGAGGCTGGGCTGACTCTGGGTGTTAGGTGTTCGGAACCCGCCGCCGCCGAACTTGGTCCAGCACGAAGTTTGCTTGTGTCAGATGACTCTGAGCAGCCATGATGAACAGGAACCGGAAACAGCTCCTGGCCTACGTGGGCTGGTGGATGAGGCCGGGCTGCTTCTCCAGATTATATATTTTTAATGCTCAGAAATAAAACTTATCTTTATGAACAGACCTTGTATGTTGCTACCTTGCTGGGTTTTTCTATTCATTATAATAATTTTCTGTGGAATATTTAGGGTTTCAAAGTTCAAAAATAAGCTGTAACTTTTAGTCTCACTGATTTTCTCTCTATCCATTGTTTTATTGACCTCTCAGGATATTTTCTAGCTCCTTACTTGTACTGGCTTTCAATTTACTTTTTTTTTCATTTTTCTAATTATTTGTTCATTAAGTTATCGATCCAGGTTATTGATTTAAGGGTATTTGCTGTTATTTGTTTTAATTTTGTTACATGCCTCTGTTTCTGTTTCCAAGGTGTTGGGGTGAAAGTTGTGCATTACCACACCAGGTTGATCTGATTATTAAAAAACAAAACAGAAAACTTGTGGTAGATAAATATTGTAGCAAATACAATTCAGATTGAATTCTTATAGCCATGTGACAACCTGCTACAGGTTGTCAGGTAGAAGTAAAAATCCTGGAGTAAGGATAGGCAAAAGACTTACAGAGGCTATAAAGCTGGTGTCATAAGTAGCTCACCCTTGAAACAGGGACAGGTTTTCAAGTGATACCCAGTAAGTTCTTGCTCTAAAAATAAATGTTCCCGCTTTCAGAGTTCCTATTCTTCAATAGGATGTAATTGAGCAGCACAACATCGTGCAGTAAAAACCAACCATTCTTAGCAAACCCAAAATGTCAAAGGAAATCTGTAAAAGACAAACTCTTCACAGTTAATCATAAATAAAAGTGCACTAAGTATTCAAGTAGGACACGCAGTTTAAAAACTATATGAGTCTCTTTAGCTTAGGCCATCTTTTAAAGACTCTTCTCGGATCCCTTTTATTACTTATTGTGGTCATGACTGTTTGACTACTATGAGCTCCTGGAAGCTGTTGATTGATGGGTTTCCGGCCACTTCTTGTACCAGTATATGGAAGATGATATCCCCTTGATTCAGGCCTAGTCTTAACACCATTTCCAACTGGCCCAAAAGTACCAACACTCACTCTGTCCTTCTCATTTTGTACCGCTTTGTTCTGCTGCCCTGTATAATCTGGGTTTGGTTCACTGAAATTTGGCACTTCTGAATACACCATACAATATTCTCCAATTTTTTGAAGTTCACCATCTCTTCCAGTATAAAGTATCAGGCATCCTTTCCACATTGAAGCATATCCTCTGGTCAAACGAATAATATCCCCTGTCTGTATGAGCTCTCCGATCTCATCCCATACAGAAATAGTGATGCTTCCCGTTTCATCGGCTACTTTGTAGGATCTCACTTCATGGCCGTCTTTGATTCTGGTCACGCGTTCTAACTGCAGGACAATAAAGACAACATTTACGTTTTTCAGTCCGGCCTTAATGTCTTTTATAAAAAGTGGAGGATGATTGATCCCAAACATACTGAGGCAGGTGTGGCTATGCTTCAGAGACCTGCTGGGCAAAGCTGGGGGGGGGGGCAACCTGAGGCGGGGCTGGTGACCCTATTCAGGAAGCGGTTATTCCGGACCAGGGAAACCAGCCCTGGAGGCACCAAGCCAAAAGAAAAAAATTTTTGGAAGGGGGGGGAAGACGCTTACAAGTTCCAAAATCAAAAAGACAAGCACTCCGCACACCGAGTGGGCGGCGAGCAAAGAAAAGAATCCTGCAGACTACCTCCCAGGCTAAGGGAAGAGGCAGCAGGGGACGAACCTGGCCGAGTCTTGCTGTCACTCACACAACACAGGCACACACACGTGCTACTCCGGGAAAAGACCGTGACAGCAAAATGGCAATGCAGCCCAGCAGACCAACTGCGCAGCCCGCCACCTCAGCTCAGAGTGCGGAATGAGCTCTCAGGCCAGCTTTATATATCGCATCCCCTCCTTACGACGTCATGCGACGTTGCCACGCCTTGGGGCGGAGCGAAGAGCCACTCAGGAATCCGTTTTTTTTTGTTTTTTTTTTTTTTAATCTGTTCTTTAATTGCAACACATTTGTGAATTTTCTAATTTTATTTCTCTTAGTGACTGTCTTGGGGTTTCTATTGCTGTGGAAAAAAACACTATAAACAACAGCAATTTTGGAAGGAAATTATTTATTTGCGTTACATATCCTGGGTCACGGAAGTCAGGGCAGGAACCTGGAGTCGGGAAGCCACGGAGGAATGTTGTTTACTAGCTTGCTTCCCATGGCTTACTCGGCCAGCTTTCTTGTGCCATCCAGGACCACCTGCCTAGGAATGGCACTGCCCACAATGGGTTTGGCCCACTCACATTAACCATAAATCAGGAAAATGTACTACAGACTTGCCAACAGACAAATCTTATGCAGAGTCGGGAGCCAGGAAAATTCCATTAGGGAATTTCTCCTGTTCCATAGGTCCATACCTCCAGAACTCCGGCCTACAAATGTATTTCAAATACTAGCTAATCTGCTATTGATTGGCATAGCCTCAGTGGAGAATGCCTCCTAGTTTGCACCTCTACAGAATTAATCATTTGAATAGGCCTGCACCAGGGCGGAGGGTGAGATGTATGGGACAAATGAGCACAAAGAGACTTAGGAGGGTCGAGGCAGAGGGGTCAATTGGAAGAGAGAGAAATGGCCTCAGGGTCTGGGAAGCACAGTTAGAGAACAGCCATTGAAAGACCCCGAAGAGGCACTTTCGTAGAGGGAGACCCACACACCCAGGAACCAGCGAGGCCACGAACTGGATGTAAAAAACAAGAGGCTTTATTGGAGACGCGAGTACCCGGGGCGACTTAGCTTTTCTGAGGCCAAGCGCCCCGCGCCAAGGGAAAGGCGTCCTTATATAGGGAAAAAGGCGCAAGCTAGGAGCAGGGATTCTATTTGATGGTTCAAATGAGGCACAGAGCCATTCCAGATCAGCATATTCTCAAGGTCTGGTGTCTGGT